ATAAATAAAGTTTATTATAAATTTCGCGTTGTTTTCTTTTTCAAGAGCGCATACTTATGAAAACTAGAGAGCTTATAATAAGAGAGTTGCCAATTCATCACGTGATCTGAATCGTGCTCTGATTGGCTCGCGGCGCATAGGCTCGAAAAGGTTAAACGATAATGACAAGAAGACAAAAGCCGCAACTTGTGTCACTGTCATTCTAACCTTTTCTGAGCGCCATTCGCCTCAAGCCACTTGAATAGTCGTGAACAATCTGGCATCACACATTGCAATCGTTTCGCTCAACCAACCTTGATCATTGATCTCCACTTGTCAGTCGACACACTTGACACTCTCGCTCTCTATTTTATCGACTTTTGTTAACAACCGTTAAACTGTTTCAATAGTATGGACAAAAATAAAGGAAGTTCTAAAGCCAAAGGAGGTGTTGAGAAAGAAAGGGAGAGAAAAAAGCGAAGAATAATGAATGAAGCAAAATCATGTAAAATATTAACAAATATGTTTTCTAAATCCCCAATATCTGAAAATGAGAAAAACGATTTTCCTTTGATCTGAAAGCCTTAGAATCCTTAAATACTGCTAGAGTTGAGAAAAACAAAGAAGCTAACGAGGAAATAAAACCTACTGGTATTAATAATTCTTTTAAAGAAATAAGTTCTGATAGCGAAAAAGGAAAAGAAGTTTCGGAGAAAGTAGAAAAAACTCTACATGAGCCAGATTTAGATGACTACAACTTTTTTAAAAGACTGGATTCTACGGAACTGAATATGTTTTTTAGTCATCATCCTATAGTTCCAAAAAGTCAAAAAGGATTGCTTTTCAAAATTGATAAAGCATGCAAATGAGAAAATACAAACGAGAAAATAAAAGTAATAGGATATGGTTAACTTACAGTTTCTCAAAAAAAGCTTTATTCTGTTCGGTGTGTTTGGCATTTGAGAACAGAGAAACAAGCAGCTTTAGGCTAATTCTATAATATGCTCTTTATTTCCTGTTTTTTGTCTCTGTTTGTCTCTTGCCTTTTTGGTCAATAAGATAAGAAACAAACAGCAAGAAACAGAAAACAAAACACATTATAAAATTAGTCTTAATTCTAAATGTGGCATGAAGGATTGGAAACATGTGTATCAGAGAATCTATGAACACGAACAAACAACGATATACGGAAATAATTATGATTCATATTATGCATTTTAAAAATAGGATACGTTATTATTTAATCAGTATGCCTATAAGCGCAATCAACAAGTTACGAACAAATATTAGATATTATTATTAACGTCATCAAATTCATTGATAAGACAGGTCTTTCTTACAGAGGAAATTTAAATAAGGCTGCATATTCAATAGAAAATGAAAATATAGACCATGGAAATTTCCTAGAAATTATCTTGTTATTATCTAAATATGATACAATTTAAAAAAAAATCTGGATGTAATCATCAAACGTAGCAAAAAAACACATAAAAAAGAGAATATACAACGAACTGACAATTTTTTAACATTTCTATCAAAAACAACATTAAATTCAATAATTTCTATTAACGAAAATGGTGAAAAAAAAAATGTCAGCAGAAATATTAGAAGCCAGAATGTTCTCCATTGAAATAGATTCTACGCAAGATATTTCTACAAGAGAGCAATGTTCGATTGTGATAAGATAATGCAGTGAAATATATTATATATCATTTAAAATGTATTATATATTATTGTAATATTCAAATTCCATTTATTTAATTTATTGCAGATATGTGTATATGGGAAATATTATCGAATGATTATTTTCTGTGGTTCAATGTGTCGATACAACTGGAAAAGGTTTCGAAACTACCATATAAATGTACTACAAAGCAATGGTTTGTATGTAAATCCCTAAAATTGTATTGCAAATTCAACAGATGGTGCGGCCAATATGTAAGACGAATACAATGGCTTTTCTACGAAAATGCAAATTCACAAGATCATGTATATTTATAGTCATATTTTAAACCTAGTGCTTTGTGATATGCCGAAAGCAAACATCAAGGCTGCTTCACTTTTTTCATTATTAAATTCGATATCCTCCTTTTTTAAAAAATCATATCAACGCAACATTTGAGAGTCCAGTTTTATTAATCTCAAACATAGGAAGGAGTATTGGCGCAACTTGTTGGTGGACCAAGGAAACAGCGTTAAAAAAATGTTTGGAGAGTTTAATGAATCCGAAAATAGTTTATATGTTGATGTCATTGACGCTTTACAAAGAATTGAAAATAACACTAAAATTAATCCTGAAACCAGAACTGTAGCTAAAGATGGTCTGAAATACGAGAATATAATAACAGCGCAAACATTTTTAAAAATTCTTAGTATAGAATTTTTTCTAGTCCTCTATCAAGATATTTGCAGACCAAAGATTTAGACCTACTTAAATCTAATCATATGATTAAGACTGCTATTAAGCAACTTAGGTCTATCTAGAGAGACTTTATCTCTATCCGAGAGGCAACAAAAGATTTATAGAGTAGGCTAAATCAAAATTCTATTCAAGAAATATAGATGCAAACATTTAGGAACAATTCTTTGAAGTGCGTCGAAGAAGTGTAGTAAAAAAATTTTTTGACGAAAAAGCATCTGACGATCGATCACAAACTGCAAAAGAAAAATTTAAAATATCTACATTCAATGTATTAATGAATACTGCCATTGAAGCTACGAGCAAAAGATTTTTGAAAAATATAGATATATGCAGGGATCTAGCAATATTAAACGCTAATCATTTTGAAAAAATACGCAATAAGAAAAATCTACCAGATAATTGCATGAATTATTTGTCCGCAAAAATAATAAAATACAATTCTTCAAAGTTAAAAGAGGAACTTGTAAATTTTGTAACTGTTTGAGATCATTAATTCGTAGAAAAGTAATAATTCCTTTGTTTAATTAATATTAATTGTTGTTGGACGTGTGTATAAAATAAATCTGTAAATTCATCTCTAGCACGATCTTAATTCTCACTAGAGCTACTAATTTGTTGTTTTTTTCCATAAATTAATTCATTACACACACACACACACACACACACACACACACAACGGCAACGGACTATCGAAGGTTCGAGAACGATTCAATCACGTGCGCGAGCGCCGCGCTCCGACGAACACATCACGCGCGACTACCAATCCCACGCGCGGATTTTTTGTCGTGCATGACTGTTACGTCGAAAGTCGATAGAAAAGAATCCAAGGCGCCAATCAATCTTATACAACGAATGCCACGTAAAAATTACAATTGTGGCAAAATTTCATTGGACTTTATCAAGAGGAGATCCGGGCCACGAAGGCAATATATGCGCCGCTCTCTCTTTTTCTCTTAGTGTTCAGAGTCTCGCTATTGCATCATGTAAGAAAATCACCATGTAGAACCGCTGAAGATTCCTAAGGAAGATTCCTTCAAGAACCGCCGAGAAAATCGCCGCGATTTTCTATTGCTACTGAGTAAGAATTCGAAAAAGGGGATTGTGTGTAATACTTTGCGATAATTTTCAATTTGTGCTGAATTTGTTATTGTAAGAAATAAAGTGAATCTTTTATTATAATAAACTACAAAGAAACGTAATTCTTTTCACTTTTGTGCGTTGTATCAGCCATGTGACGTCCTTTCGCTTCATTCTTTCGCACGGTGCATTCGCACACATTTTCTGGTCCTTCGAGCCGGATAACCGCAGTGTCGGCTGCGTCGCGTTCAGTTTGTTAATGTTAATAAAGAAGAGTGAGGTGAGTGAGTGATGAGTGAAGATCTGCAAACTTTGCTGATGGCTCAGAGCGACATTCACGGTCGTATGGCTCGGTCAGTGTCGAATCTGAAAAAGCTCGGCACAGCGAGCATCACGCTGCCGAAACTAGCATCGTTCTTCCAGATCGATAAATCAAAAGAATAGAAATACATAATAGTAATACGCATAAATAAAAGAAAAAAAAGGATTACATTAAGTGTAAATTAAAATACTAGTAGTATATAATACGTATATAAATATTAAAAACATATGATATGTATTATATGAAAGTACAATAATCGTAATATATAATAAATGCTATTACATAAAACATACTAATAATACTTGTATAAATGTAAAAAAAGTGTAAATTACAATAGTAATACATAATAGCAATATATACATATAATACATATAATACATATATTATAAATATATTAGGTGTACAAATAAGTTTCCGCCGTTTGACAAAAGACGGCGCCACTAGCAAGCCATTATGGTTAAAATTGTCTGATGTAAAACATTATGTCGTAAGGTTGGACATCTGTCAACAACATAATCTTGAAATACTAGCGATTTTGTATCAGTATCATATATTTTTTTTTGTGCGAAAATGCCGAGTTTTGAGCTGAATAAGCGTCATTTGCGGGAACTTTTGATTTACTTCTTTAATTGGAAGAAATCTGCAGCTGAGGCTCATCGATTGCTTGTAGAAGCATATGATGAGGCTGCCTTAAGTGAGAGAAGTTG